GGTAGCAAGCGAAACTTTCAGACGAATATCTCCTGTTCATATTCTAGACACTTTATATATTTTTGTTCACTGTTGACAAGAGTATTTCGTTAGATTAGGGGTAGTATTTTAGGGAACCCTCGCCTTAAAATTTTTTAATAAACTACGAGGTTCATGAAAAAAAAACTTCTGCATTGCTTATAACGTAATTGAAAATAATTAAATTAAAAACGAAATAAAGCTAAAGATTGCTTCAACGCCGAAATAGCTCAGAATGGTCAAATACCTAAGCGAGGAAACACGAATCTTATATTTCTTGGCTAGTAGGAGATAAACAGCAATTATTCTGTGGGAATGCATACTATTAAGATTCAATAAGTATATGCCGTCGAACACGAGGTAATTTGTACTGAATATGAAATACGGAATGAAAAAAGAAAAATATGTAGTAAAACTGTAACATAATTCAAGATTTAAATGTGCAAACAGCAGTAAAGAAAGAAAGAAAACGGGAAGGAGATGCAGATAACTTAAACCCCCTGGTAATGACACTGGATTTATGGTAGGCTGAAATTTCAGATAAAATTCCCGAGGATCGATAGGGCACCATCATATTATGTAATATATTTTAACTTGTTTACAAACCGTAAACCTTGTAAAATGTTATTGACTTTGCAATAACGATAGAAAATAATATCAAAGTGTATTGTCACTTTTCCGACAAAATATTTAAATTATTGTTATGGTAGAAAAAAGGGTATTCTCAGGAATCATCATACGTTCTCAATAGGACTACAATATAGAGAATGTTGGTGAATAAAGTGAAAAAAAAAATCATAATTACTAGAATGTCAGATTTCACGAAAGTTTTAGAGTAAAATTCAATATTAACATCTTTTTTTACCCAGTTCTGATTATAAATTGTTTCAGTTAGAATAAAACGTATAATCAGTATTGTTTTTTTTATTATTATTTGTGAGCCTGTATGCTAGTAGCACGTTGCTTGGTCAGTCTTAAATAATAAAATAATAGTGTTAAATAATAATGATAAGCTGGATATGGGTGGTCACCTAGCCCTGAAGAAACTTATCAGTAGTATGTGGTTTATTTAGTTATTTTTTAATTACAAATATCCAAGTCCGTAGAGAACTTCAACCTTAACAGCAGTCTTGTTCAGTTGCTATAGTGCACGTTTAGAGACCGTTACCATAGCAACTTCACAGTTGGAACTGTGACATTCTCAGCTGCTGGATACATCACAGCATGGTGTTTCAAGGTCCTGGGGCTCGGACCTGTTTTGAGTTCTGGTTTGGGCACAGCATAGAGCTTTGGGACGAATCAAGGCCGTCCGGAATATTTAGTCGTTTATGGTATAAGATTGTTGCAGCTTAGGTGGGGTAAAACTAAGTCTATTAGCATGTCGTTTTGTCTGTTTTTTTTTGGTTTTTTTTGCTTTGTTTCAAAGTGTTTTGGATAAATTACAATGTTTAACTTTGACTGTAGCTTTGAAAATATGATAGAAAACTTCTCTAGTGTGTGCTTGTGTTTGTTTTGGGATAATATTGATAAATAGTATTCCATGTTTATTTGAACGTGCAAAAAACCTGCAATTTGAAAATCTTTAGAATTTAAGGAAAATGAAAGAAAAGAAAGTGACTTTGTGAGTTGTATTAAAATCTAAGAAAAATTGGAAGTTGCACTCCAAATAATGTATATTTGACACAATCTGTAAATGTTGTACTGTGGCTTTAATAAACTTATGAATATATCAATAATTTTGTTTATTACATATTGCAAGCTCTTACAGCTTAAAAACAAATCATGTATGGACCATATTGGTACTAGTTTATCAAAGCTCATTATAGTCTGTGTGTGTGAAAATTGATATAAACCATGTATTTAGAATTTTATGAAAGAGAATGATAATTCAATGGTATTAATATTTTTCAAATATATAATGAATAAAAATAAAAATATAGCTTAGAAATATTTTTCAAATGTTGAAAAGTTGAAAAATGACTTATTCCACACACCCACAAAATTCTCCAAATTAATCTTGTTCATAAAAACCATGCTCCTTGTGAATTTTATCTTTAAAAAGTAAAATTCTTTATTGTGGCCAAGCCAGAATGGCTAGAAACAGTATGTATGTTTAACTAATGCTCTTATAAACTATATTGAAATAACCCTGACATCTGTAATGACTTTCCTGAACATTACAACATGAGGGAAAAGATCGTTAGTTGTTTGTTGATGATTAGTCTAGACAGTTGATTAAGTTTGTATACTCAAGTTACACAGGCTTTCAGATGAATGGTTTCAGTTTGTTTATTGCCTTATTTTTGTGTGTCTATGTGTCTATGGAGGGGGCTACATTATGTAGTATAACTTTTTCATGTAATGCATGTAAATCTCTATACACCAGAAAACTCGTACAGAGTTTGATACATCATAATTTTAATGAAAATTTAGGCATGAAGAGAACCATTAAGAAAACTACCATAACATACACACTGCCAAAATCATCTTTGAAAGAAATTTACGAGTTCAATCATATTCCCAGAAGTTGATTGAAAGTTTTCCAAGTAATGCTGTCACTAATTTCAATAGTTGTATATGATTCATCTTCAAGTTTAAAAGATGTTCTTCTCTCCATTGCAACTCTCATTTTTCGGTTGTTCCTCCCTCCGTTGCAACTGAAGTTTTATTCATTGTTGTAATTATGCCTAAAATTCTAACCATTCTTGGATTTGAGTTGTTGTTTTTTGTTGTCTGGTGGGCAAATCTTGAAACAGTTAAGGAGAATATCTGTAAATATTCCTTGACTGTTGAAAAGTTTTTTTGTTTTGTTTTAATTACCCAACATGGAATTATGCATTAAACATTAACTTTAGATCATGTAGGTGGAGTTTAATGTGTTATTTTATGGTTGTGGAGTAAAGAGGAAAGTAAAAATCCTTATCACTTTTCTTCATAGGAAGGGCAGGTACATCTTACAACCACAATTACAGTTCAGTTTTGTTTTGTCTCTTTAATTTCAGTTCTGTAC